TTACAAGAGTCAGTGCAGGGAATTGGCCAAAAGCAAAAAAATTACTGGATGAAGTGAATTTTTTTTTTAGTTTGCAGTCCAATACACAAGCATAAATATACCTCTTTGAGTTCCACACCTCAAGGATTTTAAGGTATTTGGGTTTTATGTACAAACTTACAATACCAAATATTTACAGTTTTTATGGAAAATAGTCTATAGTGTTTGCATATACAGAATGAAGCTAATATGCTCCTTTAGGTATGAGCGCAGGGCCACATCTTAAAAACACCTTTAATCACTCAGCAGTCTGTCCACACCCAGTTAATCCATCCGTCACAGTCCATCGACTCCAGCCTCACTTAAACCCTACCAGATCTATCCTCATCTGCCTTACTTGACTCTATCTTTTCACTCTCATATTTTTTCCTGTTTCCCAGTCTCTTCTTTTCTTCTGTCCACTTCTCTTTGTTCTAGGTAACATATGGGGCTCGGCGGAGATTGGGATCTTAAGTTGGTTCATGAAAAAACATTTTTGAGTAGAGTCCTCCAAGCCCTCACCAACAAGTCTCCACCGATGATCCATATTAGAACCTAGTCCATCCTCCCCGTTCACCCCTTGCTTCAGCATTATTGAACTAACAGCTTGATAATGACCAGGGGATACAATCTTTATTAAGCTAAAGCTGGAGAACCAGTCAGGATGTGGGCTATAGGAGAGAACATTCCAAACTTTGTTTCAAAGTGCAATCTACTGTTTATACAGTCAGGTAACGGTTTTTTTCTGCCAAATCCTAACTGCCATAAACCTGGTAGCACTAACACTAGGCTTTCAAATTTGGTTTAAAGATAAAGGCATTTGAAGCCTACAGTGAAGTATATTGGGGAAATGTACAGTATATATGGTGAATGTGAACCTGTTGTTGCTTTATTGGATTTCATGCTCAAAAATATTTTTTAAATATGCATGTACTCCAAAGAAGTCACATGATCAGATCCAAAATCTTCAACACCTCAGAAAAGACTGGGGTAGTTGTCTTAAACTTACCTATCTTCTCTGTCTGATCCCTAATACTGGGTTTGACTTCCTCTATAATCCGTAAGAAGGGTTGTTTTTTTATTTTTTTATTTTACGTAAAAAGGGGTTTTAACTTATTTAAAATGGTATACCAGATCACTGTAAAGCAGTTTCTCCAGCTCCCAGCATGCCTTGCAGCTCTAACTTCACCCAAGATGTTATATAACGACATGACCACTACGTCACAGTCTGCCTTCATTGGGAGACCAATACCTCAGCTGAGTTCTGTAACTAGAACCACTCAGATAACTGTGCCGGAACTGCATTTCACTGGTCAAAACCTGTTGCCAAGCATGCCGAGAACAACCACTTCTTTTGTTGGATCAATAGGGAGGTTTCCAAGAGAAATGGAGCTGCTGAAGTCTTCCTTGTTGACTACCTGCTCAATATTTTTGTCACGTAACCAAAAGGACAACAAGCACCCAGGCTCATCTGCTACTGAGATAGATGAAAAGGGGAGCCAGACACTGCTCCCTCCCCCTTAAAAGTTTCAAACCTCAATAAGTGAAGCCTTCATCACCGGCAGAAATCCCAGAGTAGCCGGCCTTTCTTTAAATGCCCCTTTGCTGCAATGCCTCATTCAGCCATGACCCACCGAGTTTCGGAGAACCCCTGCTCCCCTTCCCTACTCCTACAGTAATAAGCTGTAAGCCATCTCTATTGCTTCCCTTTCCTCCAGAACTGCATTTCTGAGTTTTGCTTTACAGACAAGAAACATTTGTTCTTAGCTACATTTTGGGAGATTACAAGTTTTTAATGCTTTTCGTTTGTTCAAAAGGGAATTTGCTTGAGCTTGGATTGAATGTTACCATGTGGTTTGATTCTTGTTTTGTTTAAATAGTTCATAGACAGCCCAATACCACATAATTCCATCTCTCTCTTCAGTTTTCCTTCTCTTTATGTCTCACACTGTTTTTTTTCTGGTATCCAATTTATTTGGATTCCTTGTGTAAGCTACTAAAACCATCTGCCACTAGCCTTGTTAGCTCATTGTTGGGGATCCCTCTTCTCTCTCCTCTTGGTCCGACTAGTGTGCAGAAAGTAACCAGATCACTTATTCTACAGAGATCCATTAGGGCCAAATCAAAAATAATTTTTAACACTATGCACCTTATATTTGTCTGTTTAATGGGTGATGATATATCCATGCACCTTTTTCTTCCTTTGGCACATTCTTCTTCTCCTTTGACTATTTGAGCTGATTTAACAAGTAAATTTCCCTACTGTGAGATCAATAAAGACAATCCATTAATCAATCAATTATTTGTGAATAGCATTAATTATTTGTGAATTATTTGTGAATATTTCCAAAATACTACTTCCAATTTCCTAAATAGTAATAACTAATACTATTACCTCTAAGATTTCTGCTGTTTTTTCCTTACTTGTTTTTATTTCTTTGTTGTAGTTTTGTGTGTTCTTGTAGAACTATTAAAAAGAATACCTGCTTGTAACAGGGACTTTGCATTAAAGTCGTAGTTCTCTGTGGTTATTTTATATCTGTTATCTATGGTCTCTTAGAGTCAAAAATACCCCTCTTGAGGTCACAGCTTAAACTATACAGGGAGAATTCTTGTAGTTTGGTTAATGATATGAATCTCAATAATAAATTTAGAAATTATTTTAAATTCTTAACATTTGCAAGTGGTTAATTCATATCCAGGTTTGCAGCTGGTTTAAATATCCATTTTTTCTTGCAAACTAAGTTAATAATTTTTAAATGTAACCATTAAAAATAATTTTGTTATGATTTAACTTTGATTAGAATAATAAAACATGAATCATAATCAAAAATATGATTATTATTAACATTCCTAATCAAACATATAATTGAGCAGCAGAAAAGTAATACTTGAGGTCTGCAAAACTCTTTCTGTATCAATGCCATCAGTATAATTTAACCAGCGCTTTGCAAGCTGCAAAAAGACAAGAGCTCTTTTCAAGGAAACAGTTATCTCGAGTAGGCTTTGACATTGTTATATGCTACTTTGACTGCAATTTCTTATGTGCATCCAGTGCCTTTGCCATTTCAACAAGCTATAGACCATTACCCCTTTAGATCTTATAACTTGGGAACTTTAAATCTCAATCTTTCTATCCATCCATCCATCCATCCATCCATCCATCCATCCATCCATCCATCCATCCATCCATCCATCCATCCATCCATCCATCCATCCATCCATCCATCCATCCATCCATCCATCCATCCATCCTGAATGTTTACCAGCTTCTGAAGTCCAAAAATTCAATTATATCAATATGTGTATATGTGAATATGGCTACTTTATTCTTGTGGTGGACTTTAATGTTCATGTGGACAACCCTGAAGACAGAGGTGCAAAAGAACTATAACATACTACACTTAACTTGACTCAACATGTCAAACTGCCAACTCACAAACAAGGATGTACTTTAAACTTGGCTCTTCAGCATGGGTCTAATTTAAGCTAATGTTTTTGTAACAGATGTTGCCCTGTCTGGCCATTTTTCTGTTTCATTTGAAATGATCTTCCCCACTGACTTAATTACCAAAAGAGATGTTATAAGAAAGAATGAAAAGAAAACGTGTTGTCATTGACAGTACAATCGAAAGCTTTACCTGAATTTTTCCCTCTGCCATTTACCCTGGAACAAAACTGTTATATTGTGACAGCTATTTCAGCTATATACCACAGTCCTATGCACTCTTAAACAAAGCCTTTGTATAGCTTTTGACATCAGTAACTACTCTTAAATTTTGACTGAAAAGCATTTTATTTTGTGACTTGTTTAAGCATATATGATCTTCAGCTTCCAAATGTTTCCAAATCCCACTCTAAAGTAGGCAAAGCCCAACCTTTTAAACATTTATAATCTTTATTTTACAAAGTGTGAACTGCAAAATCTAATCTCATGTAAAGGGTAGAAAGAAAGGTTTCTTTTTTTTTCTTACTGATTAATAGGCTGTGTAATTGCCACGCTTTCATATTTACAGCAACAAATAAACTCATTTATGGCTGGTTTTGACATCTAAGTGTTTTTTTTGGGGGGGTTGGATAAATTGTTGATGCTTCACTGTCCTTGCCAGATGGGCAGAAGAATTAAGTGTCCGACAGCAATGTGTTTGCAGAGCTGAACAAACCACTCAGATCATTTTCACACCAATATATTTTTCACTGCTTTCAACACCACCTGTGCTATGTAAGAGATTTTCCGCAGTCTAGGAAAACACCACAGCCCTTAATACAACTGGGTTTGCCCAAGGAATCATTACAGAAAAAAATCTGCCAAACTACTAGAAATACGTTCTGGATGATGAGAAAAAACACAACTTATTCAATGCACAAGTTAATCATGTCTAAACTGTTTTGTTTTTTTAAAGGGTTTGACATAACGTATTCTAAACCTCTAGAGAAAAACATAAGATTTATGGAGTTTTATGATAATCTAAGCTGAAAACAAATCAGTGTATTTAACATTATTTTAAATACCTTTTAGATTGTGTCATCAGTTATATCCATAACTCTTTCCTGAAATTATATTAATAAAGTAATAAATGCTTAATAGAAAAAATTGCTTTGGTTCATAGTAGTTTACAATTCAGTGCAGACATTTTATTTTACAAGGTCAACTCAATCAAAGGCGGTCTTACGTCTGCCATTTCTCTCTGGGATTTGTCTGAGGTTGAAGCTGGCAAGCAGGATATTGGATCAATAGTAGTTGAACATGCCCAATAAAACTGAGGTAATTTATCCTTTACTCAATCCTCATCTACTTCTATTGGCTAATGTTGTGACAGGTCTAAAATTAGACCTCAGGTCACCCACAAGATTTCATAAAATGTTTTTATGCATGGATAATTTATCTTTATTTTACAAAATGTTGTTCTCTTTCTTGATATTTGTCTTTTCATCTGTGCTTCAAAACCCATTATGAATAGACGGTACAGAGTAAAACTGACCTGGTGGATGAAGACTTGGGCTCCTCGAGGACTCATGAGGAGCACGGCCCGTCGTAGGGTGTCCCGGTACCGGTTCAGCTCCTCTGTGTGCATTGTGTTAAAGAGATCGGTAAATACTCGACTGACATTGCGGTCCACCCGCTGCAGGGAGACATCCAGACCAAGCCGAGACGCCTGGTCCATGAAGGTTTGTAGTCCCCGGATATCTGAGGAAAGACCGACATGGTAAGAAACACAAGCAAAAAGTGAAAAACCTCTTCATGCAAGTATTACTTTAGGCCTGGAGCATAAAAATCACAAATCTTTTGAGCACCCTCTGTCTTCAACACTTATACATGCAAACAATTTGTCAAGGCTTTGTTCAAAGTGCTTAAAGGTATTTTTTTTCTTTGGTTGTGATCCAATGTATGACGGAACATGACAATAATTTGTCTCTTTCAGCTTCCCAGGGTTTACAGAATATGAACCTTCAGTCATGTTTTGCAGTCCCCACAGATCTTTGTGCATATGTCGAGTTGCAGTACACAAGAGACCATTCCAAAGAATTCCTGAACTACACAAGTCAAAAGTGATATGAAGTAGAGGGCTTACGGTAAGCAGAGCAATCCCAGCAGTCACAGAGGGAAATGCCTGCCCAGCTTGTGCCAAGTCATGCTGCATTGTTAATGAGAGCTTAGAAAGGCCTTACTTTTTGCATCCACTAAAGAGTGCGTGCATAATAATAATTCACAGAAGACTTTAGATCTTAAAACAGAGCTTTGAGAAGAGAAAAACATAAACTTGAAGCAAACAAACCATATGTGCAGAATCCAAGTTCATGAATGAACTGCTACTGCTTCACAGAGCACATAGTAAATGAACCATTTCTGAGTGGAAGCCTATAAAACAATAGTAAAAGCTCCAGAATCCTATCTTTCTTACTAGAGAAGAAACATATTACTGATTTGTAATTATTTTTGTGTGTGTTTTTTGTTAGTACCTTTGACAAACAAAAAAGAGCAACGTGATAAAGAGCCATCTGAAATAAATCATAAGAATTAGCTGCATTGTTTGATTTTTCTAACAATTGATATATTTCCCTTTATCTTTCAGATAACAAAAACACTAACAGTTGCTGTTCGGTTCTCCTCAGATTACAAATGCTCAAAGAAAAGAACAAAATGTGAAATTAAATCATTCATCATTTTGAAGTGTCAAACTCCTCCAGCAACATTCTTTGAAAACTAAGAAATGCATACACACACAATACTGACAATAGCCTAAATTGAAATTGTACACAAAGATGATGTGCTTTGAATAAGAAAAGAAAAATAAGCCCTACCACAGAGTGATGCTGCTTTTGTTTGGCTCCATATCCATTGTGTATTCAGTATTTCCATTCAGTAAAGTTCTACCCCCCTTGTCATTTCAAATATTGACCTTTAAAATAATTTTCTGGTTGACTTCAACATTTACGTCACGTAAAATGGGGATGCTCACAAAAAAATTCACTTGCCTTTATTCTACTCTTTGTCACCATTGAGCGATCACTTTCATTAGAGAGGAACAAACACAGTCCTCTTCAAAAATTAATTTTTTAGTTTTTTCTTAATCAACACCGACATCACTAAGATCTCTGATGGCAGTGCAGGAGCAATCTATGAGATATATCTATAGATGCAGGTGAGTAAAACTGGCAGGTATGTTAAACTTTAAGATCAGGGACTCAGCACACCCTCATCTCCAGTCCATTTTACTACTGGCCACTCCCTGACTAACAGAGTGGTTAATGTTCTCCTTCAAAAGTGATCAACTTGATCAGCTGATAATAACTACTTGTAGCTCACCTTGCTGAAACAGTGTCCGTGATGGTAGACTTCTGAAGAAGACTGCCTCAACTCCCCATTCTCAACAGAACAGTGTCTACTAAGCTTTCTGAGAACTTCAGATTGAATGTCAATAATATGCTCATTCGCACCGATACAAAAAAGTTTTCCATCATAATTTTGATAGTTACTAGTTAATATCAAATCAGATCAGCTGACATTAAAATAACACCAAATGTTTGGAGGTAAGCTCTTACTTTGCCCTGATTTCCTGCCAAACTCAGATGATTAAGCCACAAACAAGAAGTGACAGGCAACTGTGCAATTGTACTCTCCCTCAGCGTGAACCATCTGTGTTATAGAAAGCCTTGGGGCGAATAATAAAATAACCACAAAACTAAGAGTAAACCGCAGTACAGTTAGCTAATTACTGACTGTTTGTTCTGAAGGCTTTGAGATATGAATTGACTTTAAGTTTATAATGGAAAAATACTAATGTTTAATTATTTTGCAATCTTTAATGTTAATAGGATGAAAGATGACTTGATACAATGTGACACGTATATTCCCTACATGCTGAATAATCAAGTTCTTTCAGTTACTGTGGATTACCAACTCTAACAATTCATTCATTTTGCTTTATGTGGAAAGCTTAAGAAATTATTCTTTTTTGTTAGAGTCTGTCATACCAATGAAAACACAGGCTTATTTCAATATTGATTCTTGCTTTTTAAAGTAGTACAACAATTTATGGGGAATTGTAGTAGTTAAATCTTAAAAAATTAAGATTACACCCTAAAATCTTCAAATAAACAAAAAAATAAATAAATAAAAAAGGAACAGTAATGGTTTTATGATACTAAAGGGACTAAAATATAAATATATATATCTATATTGATATATCTATATATATATATATATATATATATATATATATATATATATATATATATATATATATATATATATATATGAAGTCATATAATTAATAAAATATATTAAGTAACTTTATGCCCCACTCGGCTTTGGACAAAAAACTCAACAGTAGTACTTGAGTAAAAGTCAAACCTTACTCAACGACAAGTAAAAGTTTGGTCAAATATTTATTGACATTAAAGTATTGTACTCACTTTTTGAAATCACTTAAGTTATCAAAAGTGAAAGTTAAATATTCTATTATCAGTACATTTCTGTATAATTGTCATAATGATTTTAAGAACCTACGTGATGTATTGATGAATGGAAGGATTTAGCAACAAATTCTACACCATCTCTAAAAAACTTCAGTATAAAAATTCCTCAAAAAAAACAAGGACAGCAATGTTGATTATTATTTGCTTTTTAAAAGCAAACCAAAAAGAAGAATTGTAGTCACAAGGGCTGGTGTCTTGCATGTTGAAATTGCATTTCAAGGCAGAAAAACAAAACAAAAGGTGAGCCAAAAGAAGCAGGTAACTAGCAACTTCCTCAAAATGTAGTAAATATTTGACTTTGTAATTTAGTGGAGTAAGAGTTACAGAGTAAGAGATAGACCATTTTGGATAAACATATCAAGAAATAATGTTACTTGTAAAGACAAGGCAACACTCCTTCCTCTAGATTAAATCCTGCATTAAAGAACCAATAAATATGCCAGATCAGATAAGAGTCATCTGTTTTGTTGCCTCACCAAAACTCCAAGCTTACTTATCTCTGCAGTTCAAGAGGAGCTCAGACTACTTGGTCACAACTCATTCGCTGACAGATCCAACCCCCTCAAGTTACACAGGCAAGGTCTAAGCGCAAAGGCTAATGTTAACACAGCATAAATCAAAGCAAGCCAATAACAGGGTGACTAGATGTCCTGATTTGTGTGAGACTATGCAACATTTTTCACTTCTGTCCTCTTGTCCAACAAATTCAAACAATATCCGACATTTACATTTCTAATTCTGAAAGTCAAAACAAAATTCAGCAAGCACTTTTCTTAGATGTGAAGAGAACAGAGGAACACAGCACATGACCAACCTGTGGACGATACTCTTAGAGTAAAACAGGACTATGTTTAAAGAAAAAAAATGCAGTCACAACAACTGTGGTGAGTTTGTAACTGGAGGAGGTCAGAAAGCTATTTGGGGAGTTTACCAAAGATATTTTTTTAAATTAACAGGAAGGACAGAGCGCTGTAGAAGTTAGTCACACAACAACTCACAGCTGTTAAAACTTAATAAATCCTTTATTGTTCCTCATAAGCATCCTTGTCCCAAATTTGTTTTTGTTTAGTTTTTAAGATCTTGTCACCCTAATATGTAATGTTTTTTGTCTTCTGGTTTGCTATGTTTTATATTCCTCTCCATTACTTTTGTGTCAATAGTTCAAAATTAGCAGACAAAAGGAAATTATGTTCTATTCTGACCCCTAGAGAAAGATGAAACCTGTAAGGCAGAAGCTGAGACAGAGCTGACAGTGAGGTGTCAGAAGGCTGAGAGAGTCACAGAAAGAGAGCTAGTGAACTTAGGAGTGATTGACACTAACACCACAAAGCAGAAACAAGAGAAAAATGAAGACCGTAATAATAAAGAAGAGCCTGGAGACATGCAAGCAGAGTTTAAGACTCAGACATGTGCTTCCCCAAGCACTACATCATCATCTTCGTGCTTAGATTGTGTGTTTGTGTGTGTGAGGAAGAGCAGCTTTAGGAAATGTGCACTTTGATACATTTCTTCTGAGTGTCTGTGTCTTCATAGAATATAAAAGTATTAACATGATTTCTTTCCTCTTGGCTTGACTATCTAAAAAATTGAGACTCTTAATATTTTAACGAAAGCAGACATTTCAGTTCTCTTTAAGGTATAGTGGAAGATTTTCATGAATTTCTGAAAAGACTCACCCTCTCCACTTGGTGGAAATGCACATGCACAAGCCTGCACCCGCTTCTGAGAGGCAACGCATATTGAACGCGTGTGAGAACATGCAAGAGCCCATCTCTATTTGTGCATGTTGTTTAAAAGTTGCTGTTTGCACCGCTCATAAAAGCTTTGCCATTTTTCGACTATGTCAGACTCACCACCAGTGAGTGAAAATGGGGATGAGCTCGTAGGATGGCCTTACGTAAACATATCACCAGAATGATTGACAATTAGGAGGACCACTTATTTTGATGATCCAACCGGAAAATGAACATCCTCCACTATAGCTTTAGCAGTCCACAATCACCATCTGGAAGCAACGGTTGAAAGAAAGCACATATAAATTGTGTGTGTTTATTTTTTTTAGTACACTGTAGGGCCCATTTTCTGGAGAAAAAAAAAGCATGTTTTGGCTCCTGATGGCTGGACCCAATGAGGGATATTGCTGTTTTATGGTGAGGGGTCACGTTTAGGATTAAGGGTTAGGTATGGTTAGGTTAGGTTGGTTAGGTT